CTAATATAATATATAGAGAGAGAGAGAGAGAGAGAGAGAGAGAGAGAGAGAAAGAGTCGCGTATATAATATATATATATAATATATATATATATATATATATAATATATATATTTATTATTTATTTATTTTATTTATTATTTTATAGATAGAAAGATAAAAAGCTAATATATTTCATATATATATAGAACTTATCATAGTTATAGATATAGTCAAGAGCATCAAAGAAGCTTCTTTATATGCTCTTGATATATTTAGTAATTTTGTGTAAAACTTTGTTCCACTCTACTAAGATGCCATACAGCGTGCCTACACACACCACTCACGCCGCACACAACACGCGCGCGCACACAACGCGCGCCACGCACGCACGCCACACACAATCCGCGCTCGCGACACACAACCGCCGCACGCACGCAACGCCCCACACCACACACACGCGCGCGGCACTATATCAACGCACGCGCCACACACACGCGCGCACAACACACCGCGCAGCACGCCAGCCCGACACACACACCGCGCCGCACTAACACACGCACGCGCACAACACACTGCGCGCGTACACGCACACACATCACACGCACACACACACACACTACACACACACAGGCACACACACACTGCGCGCACACACAACTCACGCTCAATCTCTCTGATATATACTCCTGCATGGTTACCTCTTGTTAATAGGCGGCTCCTGTTCTGGCTTCACCGTTTTCACCATACAGTTTCCCATGTTGAATGTTCGATGCTGATTTCAAAAATTCCGTCTGCTCGGTTAAGAAATCTGTCACGTAATAAAGAACAAAGGTCGGTTGCTAAGCAACTAGCAAAGGAAGCGGAATCTTGGGAAATTTTGCCCTAGCAACGGCCGCGCGACCCTTGACAACCGTTCTGATGCAACAATGATATTAAACATTATTTAAAAAAATATCCTACCTGGATGATGGATGCTTTTCAGCTACGGTAGTTGCTTAGCAACCGGCCTTTGTTCTTTATTACGTGACAGCTTTCTCAAGCGAGCAGACGGAATTTTGAAATCAGCATCGAAAATTCAACATGGGCAACTGTATGATGAAAACGGTGCGCTACCCCCGACCACACCTACGAGCAGGGTCACCCCTGCTACGAACAAGCGAGATGACACACGCCATTTCGTCCATGCGTCTTCTGACACTACAGACGCGTCTATTGGACGATCTGTTGCGGTGGTTAAGGCCACAGTAGAGGCAGCTGCTGAGAAGAACGCTGCTGGGATGAAGGTAATGATGCTCTCTCTCTCATTATCGCTAGACTCTACCGTAGCATGGGTGCTTACGTCACACTTATCTCTACCGTAGCATGGGTGCTTACGTCACATTTCTCGCTACCGTAGCATGGGTGCTTACGTCACACTTCTCTCTACCGTAGGCTGACAACGTAGCGCCCCCTAACGACGTGTATGGCGCCGTCCACCTGACGGCGTCGCACGACGGTCGTCCAATCCCCCGACGTGCAGTTCGGAGAGGAATCTCACGTACCCAACGTGACGAAGGGACGAAGGGTGGTTTACAATACTACTGCCCCATCAGCAACCCCTGCTAACGACGCTGATGCCGCCGCGCCTCGCAAAGTACAACTGCGGCGTCGACTACAACTTGGATCGATTGTTACGGGGCATCAGTCTCCGACGCACTGCGCTGTTAAGAAAGAAAGACGCTGTTTAGAAGGTGGGGCCTCTCTCACCCATATCTCTCTGCCTTACTCTGTCTCTGCACCCCCCTCTCTCTCGTTCACTATATATATATATAATAATAATATATATATAATGTATATGTATATGTATATATAATCAACATTGGCAATATTTTACAAGGATTTTTACACAAATAAATATACAAATAAAAAAACAAATAAACAATACATCGATGGGATGCGATGGTAAAACCGGACCTGCGCAATCTTATATCGAACTCTAGCACCCCAACCCATGATGATAAACCTGCCTGCAAACTCCTGCAAACCCGGGATCCCCTTTATGCATAATAACACTATATAGCCTATATAATAATATTATATTATACGGATCTTTTAGTTTTATTACGGACTTATAATAAGTTATATTTTATGTTTGTTTCAAGGTTGCGCTGCGCAGTCTGCCGATCGGTAGATTGCACAGTGCAATTTTAAGATTGCGCAGATTGTGCGCACACTTCTTTCCACAATTTGGTTATGCCTACCTTGCTGCGTCGAAAGTTTGATCTTCTTCTGAATTGGCCTTTTTGGATATTTAGCCTCCCATGGTTTTCCTTCGCTATTTTCGTAAAGCGCAATTTACACATTACAACGTGTCTATACCTTGGCAGCGTCGAAGTCAACACTACGACTTTGCTGTTCAACGTGTGAGAGTTTCTTATCATTTGATTTTTCACGAATCCCTTCATATGCGAAGCACTGCTGCCATGTATCTGCTGTTTCCTGCTCACCACATGCCAACAATTTGTATCCATCATCTTCATTATATTGGTCGTCTAGAAGAGAATAATCTTGCTTTTGTTACTGAAACTGTGTGGAGCTTGAATAATTTATAGTTCGATTTATAATTTTGAATTTGAATTTGAATACCACCAAACCAATGAACCAAACTTCCAACGAATAGTAATGGGTAAAAGTAGAATATTTTTTAGAACCACCTAATAAATTGACGTTATTCTAAAAGCTAAACAATGCATTTTAATAATAATTGAGTTACGTCACAATGCCAATGGCAAGTGAAGTGATACCGATATTTGCGAAGTATATGGGCGAATATGATTGGACACGGCAGATAATTACGCGCTAAAAATGGGCATGGGCAGATGCATGCATGTAATTAATGTACTATTACTAATGTAATGATAGAGATGAACATGGTTAAAGCCAATCTAAAAATTACACTTCGGCCACAGCGTCCCGCCCATTAAAATATATAAAGACACGATACTAGAGTCTATAGACTAATTAGTATATTATTTCTATGGCCCCGCCACACCGACCTCTTCCTTTTCCCATGCCCATGATGTACATAGCCATAGGGACAAGGAAAGACGCTCGCGTCGTTGAAAGCCAAAATTGCGGTTTTAATTGACCGCGAACTAGGAAATATATATTTACGATATATCTTCTCGATATAGTTCTTTTGAATAATATTTTAGAAGTTATATTTTTACCAGAGAAAATGGGAAAGGACCCCGGCCGTCCCCCCTCATGGCTCATCCTTGAAAACTCACTCGATTTAGAACTTATGTGTACCAGCCAACCATTGACACAATGCTAGTTCAACACTTCGTTTCTATTGATGTAAATTATATTTTTTCAATTGCTTATTATTCCTAGAGCTTATTGTGATACGAATGTGTCAAGACCAGGGGACCAGCGGGCCGTCGATCATCATAAAGTTGGATAACAGATGGCGCCAAAATCGTCACTTGTCTCTGTTTACCACGTTCTATGATTTCTGTTGTTTAGTTTGGGCTTTCATTGTAAAACTATGAACAGGTTACAAAGACTTGAAGATTCGCTGATGGAAATGTCCATTTGTGACATTTCAGATACAACTCTAGACGACGACAGTCTTCTTGTTGTTTATGTGAGCAACGTTAAACTAAGTGGGGGAGTAATGCGTATCTAGTAGTACAAGTCTGTAGTACAAGTCTGGTACACTTTGTGTTAGTCCGAGCCGACGCAGACCCCAGTAATGCGATAAACCCGCACCCTCAGATTAGCAAAGCGGAGTTTACGTCTGCATTTGCGGACTAACTTTGTGTATACACATATGGGTTCAAGGATAGAGAACATGGGTCCCAATAAAACCAATGTCACTTACATCAATATAAATATAATATTACATCAATATAATAGGTTAGGGTTATGGTTATGGTTAGGGTTAGGGTTAGGGTTAGAATTAGGGTTAGGGTTAGGTTTAGGCACATTGGTTTTATTGGGACCCATGTTCTCTATCCTTGGGCCCATATATGTACCTCGGGTACATATCTGTAGTACCTGTTACGACAACGACCCCTTGAGCACTACTAGTAGTAGCAGGAGTAAGATAATATAGGATCTATCCTATATTATCTTACTCCTGGTAGTAGTAGTAGTAGTAGTACTAGTAGTAGTAATAATACTACTAGTACTAGTACTACTACTAGTACTGCTCATAGGGTCTATGTCCCCCAGGGTACTGCCGGAACGT